ACAAATTACAGCGATGGATGTCGCCCATACCGCTCAGTGAGAGAGGAGCAAATCATAAATTCACATAGATTTCCACAAAGAAGCTGCACAATGACGGTAATTATCTAATAAATAATCAATCAAACACAAGAGGGTCTCAGCAGCCAGAAGCATTATCCCTGGAGATGCCTCGTATTCACTGAAGCACAAGATCAAAGTGTCACTGACAACATCATCCAAAGTGGTGAGCAGGCCCGTCCAAACTTTAGAGCCCGCCTGCTGCTGTTCCTCAGAGTTAACGATTCTTTTGTCTCTACTGGGTGTTTCTTATAGAGCTGCAAATGTTCAATATTAAATGAAGTGTCTAAATAAAACATGATGAAATCCATAATTGATGTAACATACAAATGGATACCCTCTTCATATACATATATACATGTATAGACCAGATTTGCGTGTCACTTACTTTGTGTTCTCTCTCCGGGTTTGAAGCGTTTTGATCTGCAGTTTCCGGCCTCGCTGACCTCCTCGGTGTTTATTGTTCTCTTGTGCATTGTTTGTCTGTTTTCTATCCCGTTCTGTCTCCCCTTTACCCTCGCCTAGGTCGGTCGAGGCAGATGGCTGCCCTCCCTGAGCCTGGTTCTGTTGCACATTTTTGTTCCAATGTGATATCGTGGGACGCCATATAAATATCACTTTTATGGTCATTTTGTGCTTTATGGGAGTCATTTCATGCTGTTTAGTTTCCAAAGACTGTAAAGAAATGGTGTGTTACTTTATTTTGCTAGCTAAAAATGTGTAGCGATGTCACAAAATGACACTGCTATACTTTTTATATGCCAGTTCGTAGTATCTGGCACCTCTTCCTGGTAAAGAGTTTAGTTTTTTTTCTCCCAATTGTTGCCAAGTGCATGCTAAAAGCGAAACTAATTTTCATAGGTTTTTCATAAGCGTCTTAAAAATGGCATAGGTCGTAATTCGGCACTATATAGATAAAATTGAATTGAATAACGTCAATAATAGTGCATAAAAATATAAATTAAACTCGTAGCTGGGAGTCGTGCGCAATTCCCAGACGTTCATCTTTACAGCCTCTTAGCATTCTCGCTAACAGTTACCTAACATTAGCCAGCTAGCCAC